AGAGAGAGAGAGAGAGAGAGAGAGAGAGAGCTAGGGTTGGAATAATACAAATTTTTTTGGAGCTTTGTATTATACAATGTATAATACAAAAATCCTTGTATTATACTTGTTTTTTTACTTACTATGGGGAAAAAATTAAAATGATTTAAAAGCAAAAATTAAGCCATTTTAATGCATTTATCTTATTAATTATACATGTAATATCATCTTAATCACTAATTATTTCACATTCGACGATTGATTAAATTGTTTGAAAAACTTGTAAATCTGGAAACAATTGATTTTGATTTAAATTTACTTATTTTAAAAGCTCTAATTATTTTTGAATTAAATAAGTAAACACATTTGACATACTCTAACAATTTGTACGTGTTTATAATATTTTACCAATAGGTGGTGCTGTGAAACTTTTGTATTATACAAAAAGGCAAATCTTGCTTTGTATTATACAGTGTATAATACAAGGAATAATACAATTGTATAATACAAAATTTGTATATTGCCAACCCTAGAGAGAGCTATATTTTGAAAGAATTTGAATTTTACAAAAATATTTACACAGAGATAAAAGTGATAAACTTTTTACACGGAAACAAAATTATGATAATATTTACGACAAACTAAGGTTATATTGAGAACGAACATGTCTACTGTAAAAACACAACTTGGTGATCACTTAACAATATTGTATTAGCTGTTAGTGTACAGGTTGATTAAGTGTACATTGTTTTTGGACCTGGATAAGATTACTACAGTTGGTGAGACACACTTCAACGACACACACTTGTGATCATACTATCAATAATTGCAGGGAAAGTTTGATTACGATTATTGTGACGACAATTGTATTTAACGTATAAAATAATAGTTCACATGATATGTGGCCACACTATCTGCACAACTGTCTGGCATTAAAACTCAATTAACAATTAATATTTGTAACTAACTTTAGCTAAAAATAATTAATAATTTTGTGATAACAAGTGGTTTAAAAAATTAGAGGAATAATTGCGGATCCATTGAAAGCGATGCCCAAACGGAAGGTAAGGTTTGGCTTTGATGTCCACCACTATCAGCACGAAGAAGTAGATCCAGAGGTCGTACGGCACCGGTATATCACGTGCGAGAAGTATGTCTACACTGTCATCATCTGTTACATACATTTAGCGTTCGTATGTATGAATTAAATATTTACAAACAGTATAATTAATTTGCAAAATTTCAACCATGTTCAGTCAATGTAAAAATTATAAAATTGTAGTGGATTTTGTTTTATCTCAATAAATATCAACCTAGCTCTACATTAAAAATTAATAGTAATATTCTACGTATACCGTATTTTTATCTGTAATTACTAATTAAATATTATAAATAAAGTAAAAATTAAATATCATTGAATTTTAAAGGCAAGAAAATTTTAAATTATAACCTAAATTACATACAAAACAAAACATAGTATAAACAGCAAGGGCAATTAATTTATAATCACGACTATAATTATAAACAATTAGTTATTATTATACAGGGAACGGTATACTCGGCCATTGGGCCGGCCCTGGTTGATTTAAAATACATACTGGACACCACCATGGACAAAATATCGCTCATTTTCATATTTCAAGCTGCGGGTCTAGTTATGGGTGCTTTGTGTAAGTAAACCTGGCCGCTCACCCAAAATAACCTAGGAATAAATCATTAACATAGTAATTCTTTACACGCATAGTTGGTCTATTAACCAAACACCTGAACCGGCAACTCATGCTAACAGCCCTGTTGACCATGATGTCAGTGGCCAGCCTATTGATACCCTGGTCACAGCGTCTATCACACCTGTACCTATACAACGGTATATTTGGTTTGGGCGCCGGCGCCTGGATTAACGCCAAAAACGTGTGGACCATTGAGTTGTGGCAGCACAGGTCGGCACCCGTACTACAACTATCCGCCCTTATGTTTGGTGTGGGCAGTATTCTGGGCCCTCTTATCGACGACCCGTATTTGATTGGTCACATCAAACAACTGACTGTTATAGACAATACACCGATTGATGGCCTGACCGGTGCCGTCGGTAATGATAGCACCGGTAGTTTCGATGTAAACGTTACAGTCATTGAGAATCAACGGCTACATAACGTTAGGTCGCCTTTCGTTATATGCGCTATCATTCAGATCATCGGTATTTAGGATTAATTAAACTATAAATTATTTATTTATTTAATTAAAACAAATTAATTTTAGCGCAACTTATTTTAAAAAATTATTTTAAATTAATAACATAGCAAAATATAACTAAATAATTTTAACCATGATTATAAAAACTTTTTTTCAGGTCCAATACTACTGATAATCATGTATTTTCTGCGAAAGTACGAGAAAGGGGGCGACAAATACATGGAGATCGAGGACAGGGCGGACATCGAACGGAAGGCCACCATCGCTCGCATACCGTACCTTAAATTCTCAATCATAGCCCTCGTCTCTCTATTCCTGGCGTTTCACATGTCGTCGGAGCAAAACACGCAACAATTCTCGGCCACATTCTTCCAGGACATACAGATGAAACTGACGGCCAGTAAGTCGGCCGAAGTGGTATCGGCTATGGCTGTGGCCAACACTGTGGGTCTGGCCGTATCGGTGCTGGTCTCNTCTCTCTCTCTCTCTCTCCGTCAGTAAAGTCTAACCCACTCTCTCGCACATAACTCATACCTTATCTCCGTGTATGATAAGTACGGGACACTTAATCCGGTCGTAGCGGCCATTGAGTGGTCCGACGGGAAAGTTGTGGCCATAGTTGGCGGTGAAGAGTACGTGTTGTCGCCAAAGACGGTGCAACTCGTGCTCTGTGTAGGCGCGCAGATAGGGCTCAGCCATAGCCATAGGGAACTTGTCGTACGTTTTGGTCATGAGGGCTGTCTGTGGGTCGAGATCTAGTCGGGGCAATACCGCTGCGGCCAACGCAACCAATGAGACCACAGCTTCCGGATGTCTGGCCGCCAGCACTAGACCCACTTTGGCCCCCTCTGACCAGCCCAACACTGGAAACCTTTCGTAGCCCAGACTCTATATATAACAATTGTAATATTTAAAGTTTGGGTCACCGGCAGTGGTGTGTGAGTCGTACCCGCATTAGTTGAAGGCAATGGTCGGCGTCGTTGTTGTAACGGTTGCGCGACATGTCTCGGGCCGGCTGTCGCGATCGGCCCCAACCGAGCAGTTCGGGTGCGACAACAGTATAGACACTCATATCGAGCCGGTGTTCGCCGAATAGGAGTTCGTAAAAGTCTGTCCGTCCGGTGCCTGCGATCACACATACTTTAGAAATAAATCTGTCTTTAATTATACCGTTGACACTAACCTAAACCCCCGGATATTAACAGCAATGGTTTGGGACCCGAACCGAACTTCTCGTACCACAAGTGGTGACCATTTAGTGATATATTGTCGGCGACGGCGGCGACAGTGTCTTCTGCTGCGGACATCATTTGCTACAACCAAGTGATGAGTGATTTATTGCTGGATGTGCTAAATGTTTGTGTGAATTGATTATAAGGTTTAATAATTAATGTAGTTTTGTAAGAAATATTTGATATTTATGGAATTATCTGGCGATATATTACAATTTAATAGATATTTTAATAGTTTTATTTGGAAATAATCATTAATTGATTTGCGTCAATTAAATGACCGTGGTAGAATTAATTAACAATTGACTTATATTATTAATTAATAAAATCATTTTTATTGGTTTTATAATAAGTTATAAAAAAATTTAATTACTAAAAAACAGTATTTATTACGTATTAAATTACAATTAAAAAATTTATAAAATTCATTTTTATATATTAAAACAAAAATTTTAATTAAAACATTAATGTAACATAAGTTCGTATCAATATGTCTGTTACGTACGACTTCACGGGTAAAGTGGCGCTAATCACGGGCTCGAGTGGGGGTATCGGTGCCGGCATTGCCGTACAGTTGGCCCAATCGGGCGCCAGTGTTGTGGTCACCGGTCGTAACGCAGACAAAGTGGCAGAAGTGGCCAAACAGTGCCTCAATGTATCGCCGAAAGGGGTTAAACCTCTGGAAGTGTTGGCGGATGTGACCAAACGGGAAGATCTCAGACGTCTGGTCGACCAGACTATCGGACGGTTCGGTAAACTGGATATTGTGGTCAATAACGCGGGCGCCCTCTTCTTCGGCACAATTACTGACCATAACTTTTACGACAATTACGCGAAAACAATGTCTGTTAACTTGGATTCTGTCGTCTATTTAACGCATATATGTGTCGAGTATTTGGAGAAAACCAATGGAAATATTATTAATATTTCGAGTATGGCCTCAAAGCGTACCGTAAGTACAACAATATACTATAGTTAGTGTTACCAGGTCATTTTCCCTATTTCCTTGATAAATTCTTATTTTTAGTAAATTACCCGGGAGATTCCTTGAGATTTTCTCAAGAATTCCTTGATTCTTTCCTTGAGGTGGCAAAGATAGTCCTAAAATCTCATTATTATCTAATAATTATCAAAATAATCAGTCCAAACTCAAATTACGTTTAAATCTACATGATTTTGGAGATTATTTGCTTAAAATTCCTATACTTATTCTGGTTCTCGACAAATTAAATATTGTGAATTATGTGAAACAACAATTATGAATTAAATAATTGTAATATTCACTTTTATAGCAGGTTTCCAAGTAAAAAAGTTTAAAATATATCAATTTTTCATCATTATGCCATTCCGGGAGCTCCCCATATCAAGGTGAGACCCCCGCCGGGAGACGGGAGTCGGACCCTCATTCCGGGAGACTCCCGAGCAACCGGGAGCTTCTGGCAACACTAACTATAATACGTATTTACTATAATAATATTTTAGATATATTGATCAATACTATGATTAATAAGTCTATGTCATACAGTATAATAATAAAAGTCATGAGGACATAATACTTAATTCACCTTTACAAAAAAAAAGTAATAATTTTAATTTTGTAGGTCCGAAATGTGAGCGCCTATTGTATGGCTAAGAGCGCACTCGACATGTTTGGCCAGTGTATGGCCGCCGAACTCGGGCCCAAACGCATCCGGGTTAACACAATCAAGTAATATTTAATCTAGCTTATTAAATAACATAAATATCTATTTAAATAATTCTACCATGGTGAACTAGTGTTGGATATATACCCACCGGTATATACGAGTCGTCGGGCGTGAGCCGAGACAGTGTCGAGGCCTACACCGAGCTCTATAGGCAACGCCTGCCGGTGGGCCGAGAGGGCCGACCCATCGATGTGGCTCAAGCCGTTCACTTTTTGGCCAGCGACCATGCCACGTTTATCACCGGGGCCAATCTAGTGATTGACGGTGGTGATTTAGCAGCCAATACGTGCCTGGATCATTTGTCGTAGAAATAAAACGTGGAGAGAGAGAGAGAGAGAGAGAGAGAGAACAATATTTAAACATGAAATTAATTTGAATTACTTTTATCTAAAGTTATTAACACTAATGGAGAGAATATGTGAGAAAAAGTTTGGATTTTCGTGTTATAACTTCTTTACCATTAATTATTGGCGCTGTTATGAAGTTTGTATACAATTTATTTATATTTTTATAAATAAATGTTAACTGTTTGTTAAATTTTAACATAGATTATATCATTACTAATCATCCTATTTCTAAAGATATATGAATTAACAATATTACGGCCAAAGTTATCTAAATTAAATTAATGTATAACTAAATTATTGCGTACAAAATGTTTATATTTCTATTTTTAAATTTATTAATTAATTTTTAAATTAAAGAATTTACGTATTTAAATTATATAATGATCAATACATAGACATATGAAGATAATATTATTTTATAAATAAAATTAAAATTATTGTAATATCATGCTTAATTAATTTACATAAATGTCATAATTAATCATTTAAAAGCTTTTATTACAAACCAAACCTATGTTAGTATTGATAATTATGTCAGTAAATTAAATAAACTAAATAATCGACCATGTTTAACTTCCTTATTTAGATATTCACCAAGCAATAAAACCCTCAAAAAAATCAACACAATATGCGACAAAAATAAATAATTATTTACAATATTTATTAATGAGTTGCTGTAAAAATATAAACACAATGACAGTTATGGCCAGATTGGCCGCTATGGACACCAACAGTACATACACGTAGACCTCGATATACAAACCGATCACAAACGGCAGGAATAGGTTCAACACCACCGACGAGACCATAAACACTGTGCCAATCGTGTCGGTGACGTCGATATAGCGGGAGGCGAGTGCGAAAACAGCCGGGTATACGGCGCTAAACCCGTAGGAT